TACTGGTGCAGGAGGGAGGTTTTGCCCACGCTGGCAGGAGGGAAGGGACACGGGTGAGGGTTTGCACTGCAAAGTTGGGCTCAGGGGGTCGGTCGCAGCAAGAACGGGGGCTGCGCACCCACAGGCTCCCGCGCCAGCGCACACGCGGGGCTTCCCTCCCATTGCCAGCGCCGCTCCTTACCCCAGAGCTCCTATGATAATTATCTTCAGATCCACCTTCTTGCTGGCATCCATGGACGGGCCCTGTGGGATGAGAGGGGGTCACCTGGCTGCGGGGGTGGGATCGGTTCCCGGTGACCCCCACGGCACTGGCGGAGGTGTGGGAGCAGTCGCTGCTCCCCGTGGCCTCTCACGCTCCCACCCCAGCCGTCCCAGGGCCCCGGACGCTGCCGTGGCCGCTCCATGCCAGCAGCGTGGCCGTGCAGTGCCAGCACCCTGCTGCGCTGGCGTCCCTGGCGGTGGTGGGGGCAGAATCCCCCGTGCTGAGCCCGGCCCACATCATCGCCCGGGACTGGCTCCCGAGGTGCCAGCGCACGTCCAGACACGCCACCACACTGCACCAAATCATCGCCACTAAAAGCTTCTGTGAGCAAGTTCCCTGCCTCTCCCTCTCCCTCTAAAGTGCAGTCCCTCCCTCTAAACCTGGCACACACGGGCGGTCCTGGGGAAAATTACGTTTATTAAAGAAGACAACAGCTGGCTGGACTTTCCTGGGTGCCCGAAGCAGAGCCCAGGGATGCCACCACCCAGCCTGGGAGTGCCCCAAAAGGCTCCCTGCAGGCTGCGTCCCCAACACGTCGTGGTGTCCCCACGTGCTCTGCGCCTGCCCATCCCGAGGCAGGACCCCCGGGCGCCTCCAGCAAACCCCCTCCCCAGGCGGGGATGACCATCCCCGGGCTGTCTCAGCAGCCCCGTCCGCATGGCAGCGTCAGGCACGGCACCGGCCAAAGCGCAGATGGAAGCACTTACTGACAGCCTCATCTCTGCATTTTTCCCCGATGCGTTGGCCAGCCCTGCGCCGTTCCCCCTTGGCGCATCGCCCCTGCCAGGGCGGCTCTCGGCCGTGGGGTCCGGGCTCTCCCCCAGCCCCTGCCACCCCAGCCCAGCCACGGGCAGCACCCCTGGAACAGGCAGAGCCTCCTGTCTCAGCATGCACAAACTCCCCAGTCCTTTTGCCAGCACGGGACAGCTTTCTCAGAAGCCAGGCAGTTTTAACCTCAAAATGGAGTTTCCCAATCTTTTTGACTGCCGGCTGTTGCTCGGGGGATCTCCTGCCTCGCCGTGGTCTCGGCCGCAGCGGACTCACCTGCCC